GACCGAACATTATAACGTCCCCACGGCTGATAGGGCGAGCGTGTTCGGTGTGACGGGGATTCGAGCCCGTGACCCTCAGATTGCGAGTCGAGCGCCGTAACCACCTGGCCACGCCGGGCCTTAATTGCAATTTTGTAAGATGTGTAATTATTAATTACGCACTCATAAACTTTTAAGGTGTATGACGTAATCATTATTAGTTACAAAGTTTATTGTCGATGTGTGTGTGTATCCGAACTGATCAACAAAACAATAACATTTATACATTAAATGTAATAGCATGAACATAGTTTTGAATTTTGGTTGGATTTTTTCTTTTTTACCTTTATAATTATTTTTGCTATAACAATAACATCCATTGTAAAAATACTCAGTAAATGTACTTTATAGACATTTTGTATAACAACGTATTAAAAATTTATCAAAGTTTTTAGAAAGGTCGTAGAATAATATCATAAGGTTTTTGTTGATAGTATTAAGCAATGTTCCCTATAATTTTTCAATCAATGTGCGGAATGAATTTTTCATGTGCACCTGTATAAAGGTAATGTGCGGATGTGCGCTACCAGTTTTTTCTTTTTTAGACACGGGGGGGGGGGATTTTTAGAACATCGACCCTATTGGATCATTAGGCCATTTTGCAATGCTACCAGTTGGTTATTTGGGTTTTATGCCTATCGAGTGCTAGGATCATTAAGGTCTTCAACGGGTTTATACCCCTAACCATTACTAAGGGTGAGCGCGGCTGGGATAATAAAATGCGCGGCACTTGATTGGTTGTTGTGCGGCTGCGCAACCGCGCAGCTTAGAAGGAACACCGACTATAAGTAAAGTAAAGTTTAGTCCTAACTAAGATAAAGCAAAAACGTACACAAGTTACAGTGCTAATTTATCTCTTTATCGAATATAGGCTGTTACCTAATAAAGGCTTAACTAATGTCAGGCCTATGAACAAGTGGACTGATAGAGTTTGGTGTCTGTGATTATAATTCTTTGTATTATTCTAAAAATCTTGTATTTAAAAGAAGTAATGATGTAATAAAGATACTAATTTGACTGTAAATGTTTTGCGGGTCTGCTTGTTTTAAATTAAGATAGGTACTGGATTGGATCGGCATGGCTAGGTGGCTAAGGCGCTCGACTCGCAATCTGACGGTCATGGGTTCGAATTCCTGTCCCACCAAACATGCTCACCCTTCAGCCGTGGGG